GTCCTTATCTGTAAAATGAAATTGATAGTCCTGCCTAACTCAGAAACAGTTTCTCCTGGGCTGAGCGATTACTTGTGAATGTACCTTGTTAGTCGTAATTTTCCAGCATCTTACCAAAGGTGTTAGGGCAGTCCCAAAGTGAGGGACAGGGTAACCGTGGCTAAAATCTGTTCAGACAGTCAGGGTTATGGAACTCTTGTCAAATGAGGGGCCTGGGCTTTTGAACTTGACTTGGCCACTTCCAAATATCCAGAGGGCTCCCTAAGACTACTTACATTGCTCTGTGTGGGTCTGGATCAGAGCCAGGTGCCAAAGGAATCAAGCTAGAAGTGATAGATTTTTGTTTGTTTGTTTTTTGTTTTCCGGTACCAGGAATTGAACTCACGACCTTGCACTTACCAGGCAGGCGCTGTGCCGCTGAGCTAAATCCCCAGCCCCGAGGGGGTAGATTTTAGTTCAGCCTTTGGATACATATTTCTGAACCAAGGACCTGCTTCCTCAAGAAGTAATGAGCTCCCTGTCACGGGAGGGATTCAAGCCATGGCCAGCAGGCTGTCCATCCAGGAAGCTATGACTCAGGCTTGATGCTGGCCAGTCCCCTTTCCTTCTCCGAAGTTGTGAGGGTCCTGGCAGCCTCTCTCAGCCCATGTCCCTAGCTCTCAGCCTTTGTCCCCAGTCTCTGGACCACAAGGTGCTTGCCTGTGTCTCTGAAGCCACCATTCATGGATCACCCTTCCTCAGTGCGGGCACACGTCAGAAGAGCCCCTGTTTGGTCTCTATTTGGATCCCAAAGCCCTCTTTGTGCCAGCACTTTGGGCAGAAATCATCACTATGCATCTCAAGCTCTGCTCCTCAGCCCCACAAGCCCTTTTGGGAAGCTCCCGGGTCAGGATCTGGGTGTTCCTAGAGCGTGCCCACAGAAATGCCCACGTAAGGGCCAGGTGTAATAGTCCACACCTGTAATTCCGCGCCTCAAGAGGCTGCGGTAGGAGAATGGCTGTGAGTTTAAGGCCAGCCTGGAATACATAGCCAGACCTTGTTTCACAAAAAAGGAGAAGGAGAAAAGGAATGCCCATGTAAGGGGCAGAACCAGCCTAGCCAAGTCAGGCTGCTGACAGCAGGGACGCTGGGGAGCCCTTCTGGCCCTCGGTCTCCCAGGGACAGGGCTGGGAGAGGAAAGGGCAGGAGAACTGGCTCGTGTGGCCCTGCTGTGACTGTTGCTGTCAAGGGTGTCGAGATTCCACTCGCTGTTACATAATTGAGGTATTTTTTTTTCCTATTTTTTTCCTCCTCCTTATTTTAGATCCTGGTGCCATCTGCCCCGCTTTTCATGCATCTCTGACTCTGGGCTGGAGGTTAGACCTGGGCTGGCCCCCAGGCTCCATCCCTCTGGTGGGAAGAGACTGGGGAAAGCCTGTGTCCGTATCTGCAAAATAAGATCTCGACCCCACCCCAGCTACCTGTTAGGGCGGCTGAGAGAACCGAGAATCCGGTGATAGGCAAGGGCAGAGGCAGAGGCAGCGGCAGTGGTTGGGAACGGTGCCTGGCACCGCGCGCACAAGCACAACCTGGCTGCTACCTGCAGCCTGAGCCCAGAGCCTCTGCTCACGCACATGGGCACAAGAAGTGCAGCAGGACCTGTGGAGCTGGGCTGTCTGAAGCTCAGGACGTGGACAGGCCTCAGCACCGGGTCTTTGGCGGACTTCCTGCCCCTGCTCAGAACCCTCTTGGCTCTGGGGTGGGGTGAGCACAGCGTGTGCTCTATAACAAGGCCCTGGCCAAACATCTTGCGGAAAGCTCTTGTCCAGCCTCTGGCCACCAGAAGCGAGGTTCATGGTGGTTGCAGCCCAGACCCTGGGTCCCCACAGAGGCTTCGTAAAGCCCTGCTGCAGGCTGAGCCCCCTCCTGCAGCCCCAGGCTCCGTATGCAATGCTTTCTTTCCTCTTCCTGCAGCGCCAACTCAGGCCCAAAGTCACGTGATGGGTAGAAGACTGGGACCTCACGGGCCTAGGGAGGAGTTTCGGGGAGCTAATAAATGCGTGGTTCCTGGCTGAATTGGCCAGTTTGGGCAGTTTATACTAAAATGCCATGGGCTGGAACATCCGGAACAGAAATTTAGAGCTGGGTGTGGTGCTGCATGCCTGTAATCCCAACACTTGAGAGACAGAGGCAGGACGATCCCCACAAATTGCAGTCCTGCCTGTGCTACATTGAGTTCAAGGCCAGCATGAACTACAAAGCAAGTCTCAAAACCCCAAAACAACAGAAATTTTTTTTTTTTTCCTAGTTCTATAGGCTGAAGTCCAATATGCTGGGGGAGAAATCGCTCTTCTTATTTTTTAATTTAATTTAATTTAATTTTTATTTTTATTTTATTTTGGTTTTTCTCCGGTACCGGGAACCGAACTCACGACCTTGTGCTTGCCAGGCAGGCGCTTTTGCCACTGAGCTAAATCCCCAGCCCCGAAAATGACCACATGTACTTTCCTTTTTTTTTTTTTTTTTTTTGGTACCGGGCACCAAACTCATGACCTTGCACTTGCCAGGCAGGTGCTTTTGCCGCTGAACTAAATCCCCCCCCCACCCTGCTCTTCTTATTAGGGCCAAAGCCCTTCATACTGATGGTCCTGTTGGGATAGTATCTCACCCGCAGAACCTCATTTGTCCTTAATTTCCTCCCCAAAGTCCTACCTCCAACACAGCGATGGGCTTTGGCAGATGAATTGGAGAGGATGCGTTCAGTCCAGAGCCCTGGCTCAGGGCTGCCGGGGCTGGCTGAGGACTCACCTGCCCTTGGTTAAGCAGTACCTCCTGCTTGGGATATGTAGACTCCTTCAAGAGCCCCAAGCCCAGAGCTGCAGGCCTGAGGCAACAACAGCAGAGGGGCCTCTGGCCTTCCTGACCAAGGGCATCATCCTAGGATGCTGGGGACGTGGTTCCTCTCCAAGACAGGACCTGTTGTACCATCTGCTTTCAGCAGGACTGGACCTATCCCACGCCAACAGAAAGGGGCAGCTCTCTTCAGGCACAGTGGTGGCCAGGGGTGGCAACTGTTGCTTGGTGATCGAACCAGTGGAGCTACTCAGGCTATAGGAGCCATGGCAAGCTGTGATGGTGAGTGGTACCCCTGGGAGGGTGACGGTACCCTTAGGAGACTTTCATTCTCACCTGGTTCTGCCCAGATCCGTTGTGACACCAGGAGAGCCATTTCCCTTTTTTGAGTCTCAGTTATATCATCTATAAAATGGGAACAGCCTCTGTTCTGCTCAGCTCACGTGCCTCTCATAATGATCATTCTATATATATACCCTGCACCCAATTCGGCTATAGGCTGCCAGAAATGAACCGTAACTGGGAGGTGTTTAATTAGCATACAGATTAGTTGGAGGGAAGACACACTAGGTTTCTCAATCACTGGGATAAAAATTTAAAATGGGAACAGGCTGCAGGCAGTCTTACTGCTGAGGAACCCCACAGGCACAGACGTGGTGTCCCCGGAGTTCTGTTTACTGCTGACTGGGACCCAGAGCATGCAGACACCCCCTACCTCTGGTTCCCAGGGAGGGGCACACACGTGTGGACCCGGGAGTTACACCCATTCTCCTTTATTAATCCTGAAAACAAATTCTCCTAAGATGTAAAAGCGCAAGACTCTGAAAGGCCCCTGCTGGAGCCAAGCTCTGTAGGATAACAGCCCCTCCTCGGTCTCCCCTGCAGACGGGAGCTGGGACAGGGCACCCCTGTTTGAACACAGCGGAGACAAAGGCCCCAAAGGCAAGCTGAATTTGCTCTTTGTGAGGTCCTCTCTGCCTTGGCACAGCCTGAGCCCCACAGCCTGCTCCAGCTGCCAGGGCTCCTCTGCCTTCTCCAGGCTCCAGACTCCAGCCAGGCAGCTGCTAGGAGAGCAGAAACGCTGCGTCTGAGGGAACCTGCTTCTTCTTCCTAGCAATTTCCGGGGTGGGGGCCACTGCCCTTTGTGAGACCCGGGCTTGTGTGGAAGCCCTCCAGTGGGGAGGAAGCAGGTTGTGGCTGCAGAGGAGTCGGGCGCCCTCTAGTGGCTGCCTGACCCTTCCAGGGAAAAGTGCCGGCGCTATTTTGATCTGATTTGTAATGTTGGCACTCAGGACCCTGTCAGAAGCTTGCAGCCACCTGGAGGACGTGGTGCCTGGTTCGGGTCCAAACATCCAGTCCCTGAGCAATTGCGGGGATGGAAGCCCTCAAATCCAAAGCCAGGCGAACACAGACTACGCCTAGCAGTGTCCTGGCTTAATTAAAAGTAAAACTCCAGCAGGAAGGCGAGCTACTGCTGTGGGGCACCCTGAAGCCCTCACTGCAGGTGTGTGTGTCACATGAGACAAGCAGATCACCCCCAGGAAGAAGGTGCCCAGTGCTTGTGCATTGGCATGGTTGCTCCATCTGCAGCCCCTGCCAACACCAGTCCTACCCCTGGCAAAACCAAGCAGACCCAAACCAGAAACAAGCTGCCCCCTTAGCTAAGATCACCTCCGCACAAGCCTAGCCCAAGTCCTCAAGGAGAGTGGAGAGATTGCAGATGAAGGGCTCCAGAATGACCCATGCCCCTTCCATAAGCCAGCTCAAAATCACTGTTTGCTGGCTGTCCCTCACATAGCACCATCCTGGACTTGAACTTGCAATCCTTCCGCCTCAGCCTCCCAGAGTGCTGTGATTACAGGCATGCACCACCATGCCCTGCCCACACAGCAACATGAACATGTGAAGAGGTACACAGCGGGCACATCGTGTGCAAGGCTTGGGCAAGGACACAGGGCTGCTCAGAAGATGCCAGGATCAAAGGATACGTGGATTGCCCTGGAATGCACATGTGCGCTCCTACAGTCATTTCACATGTCCCCTCCCAGCTGCAAATTCTTCATGCAGAATCAAAAAACATCTGTCCTCCTTACTCATAAGGCTAGCTTAAAGATCAACTTTTTTTGAGTTAATGTTTTGCCTAAAGGCGTAAAGGAAAACGGATTCTATTCTATAATAAATGTTTTTAATATAAAGATGTTTCCCAAAATTTTCATATGAAATCAAAAAAATCCAGATAGATGCACCATGTTTACCCCAAGGTCTAGGGCACCTCGCCGGGACCCCATTTTGTGAAGACCCAAGCCTCTCCCTACATGAATGAGTCAGGCGGGGTTACTGCCTCTGCTTAATGCTAAAATGAGTCTTCCTAAGACAGTGGTGACCCACAAGTGCTTAAGTGAGGTGTCGATAGGTGTGTGACCCACCCACCCGACCTTCTCCCCTCCCTCTGCGGCCCCCGGACCGGTCACAGCAAAACTCTTCAGTGTATGTAGATCATGTCGGACACAGCTCCGGGCAAGTGGGTCATGATCTGCATTCGCAGCCACCAGTAGTAGTCCATGGGGTGGTAGCGGGTGTAGGGGGTAGCAGCGGTCAGGGCGTGTGTGACAGCGTCAATGACGGGAGACGTGTCTGTGGAGCCGCTGTTGCAGTAGGTCTCCATCTTGGCGATCTTCTCGTCGAAGTACTTCCTGCCGTAGTCCTTGCGCACGACTTCAGGCAGGTCATCCCACATCTTCTTGGCGATGGCCTGGATCCGCTCGGGGCTGTAGAGGCTGGTGGCAGCGATGTAGTTGCCCGGCTCCACCACGCTGACCTTCACGCCCAGAGGGTACATCTCATAGCGCAGGCAGTCAGAGAAGGCCTCCACCCCAAACTTGGTGATGCAGTACGGGGAGCGGGCCGGGTTGGCCATGCGGCCCAGCATGCTGCTGATGTTGACCACGCGGCCTACAGGGGAGACAGCCAACACTGTTCAGGCGGCACCGCCCTGGCCCAGACACTAGGCGGGCACCACTTCAGAATCACCCAGGGTCAGGGGTGCAGCCACAGCAGCTTGGGCCTCCCTGACCTTCCCCCGGGGGTGCCAGCCAGGGCAGAGAAATGAGAAGGAGCACTGCTTCCCAGCAGGGCACAGGATAACGGGATAACGGACAACACACAACGAGCTCAAAACCAGACACAGCCCCGCCTGGTGACTGTACCTTGGGGTAAAAATGCCATGGGAGAATAGGGGAGGTAGGACAGCTGTGACCATGGAGATGGGTGTGTTCACCCCATCTGTGCATCTGGGCAAAATCTGATACTGTCCAAGGAAAAATATAGGAGAGAACCTCCTCCTCCCACTCACGGAGCTTAAAATTCAGCTCACCCAGTATGACAGTGAATCTTGTCAGCTTGATTAAGAGATGCCCTGATGGTTTAACCCATGGAGAAGTTCATAGCTGAAGGGCTATTAGGAGGTAGGACCTAGTTGGAAGAAGTAGGTCACTGGGGGCACAACTGTAAATGGTGTGTCTTTTCTCGGAGAAGCAGCTTCCCTCTACCTGACCCTTCCACCATAATGTTTCTCTGCCTTGCAGCCAGGCAACCATGGACTGAACTCTCTGAAACCATGGGCCAAAATAAACCTCTCCTCTTTGAGTTGTATATGTCGAGGATTTTGTCTGTATCACAGGGCAGTCACCTTGGCAGGTGACTAATGCACCTAGTGAGATGTGCGGGTAATTAGCACACGTACTGATGAACGGCAATGCGAGGGTGGAGGTGGGGTTGTAGCCCAAGGCTGCCCAGCACACATTGAGGCAGGCTAAGGTAGAGGAGGGTTCTGAACCTGATTTCAGGGCTGGGACAGGAGGACAGAGTCTCTAGCACTGGAAGAGCGGTAACCTTGAAAGGTGCCCAGCCTGAGGGTACCAGGGGCCGCCACAGTTTCTCTCAGCCCTGGGGTAGGACTGGAGGTGAATCCCATTCAACCAGTCAGACCAGGACCACCTCCCCTGGGGCACACAGGAAGGAACACAGCCCATCGCCCTGGGGGGTGGCACCTTTCGGAAACCTCTTAGTTTGAGGTCACTCAAGTGCAAGATTTCCTTTGAAGCTTTGTATGTGTACTCTGCTTACATTTGGCTACCTTCTACGGCTTGGGTGTTTTGCTTGTTTTCTAAATTGCTAACCATGAATAATACTTTTTACCTTAATGCTACGTGTCTCATGTTTTAGTTATGACACAAATGCCCCACAGAATGGGGAAACTAACATTTATTTAACCACCTGCTATGATACCATATGGGTACATTGCTGTACTTTCTGAAGGCCCCACACCCCTTTCCCTGCACTTGGCCACGTACCTCTGCCCCCCAACTTCCACCCACCTAGCATGGCCCCAGGACTCATGAGCTCAGCCTGGCTGCTGTGAGTGGTGGCTCTGGGAGATTTCCATCCTGGGCAGGTCCAGGGGACAGGAAGCAGCTGTCTTCCCAACTTACCTTTGGCTCTTCGGAGGAGCGGGAGGAAAGATTTTGTTGTCCGCACTGTGCCCCAGAGGTTCACTTCCGCCACTTCCTTGTAGGTCTCCATGCTTGTGAATTCCACCTCCCCAAAAGTCGAGATGCCCGCATTGTTAACCAGGCCCCACAACCCTGGACAGGAGATGGGACAGTTAATCTTGACTGTCAACTTGATTGGCTTGAGAGACCTCCTTGGAGATTAGTGAAGCACAGTTCGGAGTGTGCCGGGACCTTGGAGACTACATCTGGTTCCTGGCCTCTTCCTCCTTGGTGCTCTTCCCCTGTGCTCTGCTTCCCGGCAGCTTTGCTCCACTACGCCCTCCCACCATGATGTCTTGCCTTGGAGCCAGGTGACCATGCACTAAACCTCTGAAGCTGTGAGCCAAATGAAACCTCTCTTCCTTTAAAGTGTGAGTGCTCAGTATTTTGTCCCAGCAACGAGAAAGCTGACCAATTCAGGAAAGGACACAGCTGTGTCACCACACATACCCGGCCTCAGATATCACTTCTTAGCCTCCAGCCCACTCGGCTCCACTTGGTCTCCATTCCCTGTGACTTTCAGCCTGCTGCCCAAGGCTCTCAGAGAACTTTCTAGAGTCACCCAACAACGACATCAGAGAGAGGCCTAAAGTGCTGTTTGCTGGACTGTCTCTCGAGTCTGGAAGGTCCAGTCCCAATGCTCCTTCCTGAGACCCTCAGAACCACCACTCTATTCTCTCATCTTCCTCCTGCAAACCAGGGCACAGTGTGCTGCTAGCACATGTGAAGAACAGTGACCTGTTCCCCAGGGTCCCTTTGCCAGCAGAGACCCACCTCCTCAGCGTGTGTGACGCCCCAGAGTTCAGAGCACACGCACACTCTCACACTGGTGGACTGCTTCCCCCAGGACCTAGGGACACCTGGCTCTTGCGGACACAGAGAATGCAGGTGCTGGAAGGCTGCTGGGGTTTATCTAGTCTACTGACTCCTACAGGTAGAGAAACTGAGGCCCAAGAGGCAAAGCCCAGACTGAAGTTCAATCAGGAAGTCAGACGTGGAGCTGAATCTAGGGAAAGCAGAGGCGGGAGGCAGCGCTGTTTACAGGCCCTTCTTGGAATTCAGTGTTTTGGGGTTCAAAGACAGGATGGGCAGATCCCCAGGCCCGGGCCTGCCTCTCTGTTGGGGAACCCTCAGGGCTTAGCCACCCGGGGTTCAGTCTCCTGGGCTGAAAGTCCTGGGCCCCTTGTCAGGCAGTGTCGCCGCAGAGCCCCTCCCTCCTGGCACCCCCTGCCCGCGGGAACCCGGCCACTTTCCGAGCCCAGCATGGAAATGAGCCGTGTCAGGGAGACTGATTGCTCCCCATCCGCTCTCCTTCCGTCCTGACTGAATTACAGCTCCGTGCACCGACCTCGGGTGCCTTCTCCTTCAATTACAGAGAATTAAGAGCATTTATCAAGCAAAGGAAATTGCTGGTTAACAAAGTGTGCAGAGCCCCTCGCTGCTGCCTGCAGGGGCCTCACCAACTCCAGGCAGACCTAGTGACACCATCCGGGGCCTCGTCAATGACAGCGCCCTGGATCCTGGGGCTGGAGCCCTCCTGTCTGTAAGCCATCAACCCTTCTCTTCCTTTCATGTGACTTCATCTTTCCCATGGCTCCCGGCCCCCTCCCTTCCCAGTGCACACACTAGGTCCTCAGTAAATGTACGTTACTGGGTGTGGTGGTGTGGTCCCAGCACTCTGGGAGGAAGAGGCAGGAGGATGACGTGTGTGAGCTCAGCCGGGGTGACTCAGAGACTTAGTGAGACTCTGGCTCAAATAAAAAAGAAAACAGGGCTGGGGAAGGAGCTCAATGGGGTGGCTCTGGGCTCAGTTCCCGGTACTGCAAAAGAAGAGGTGAATGAATGTCTGTGGACACCCAAACAGCCCTCGGTCCGCACAGCCTGCCCTCCTTTGTCCACGCCAGGCTCTCGCTGGGCGCACACTCTGCCCTCTCTGTCCCGTCACACTGCTCTGGGATTCAGTCCTGCCCTGGACCGGAAGGACCCACCCCGTCCCCCTTCTCCTCCACTCTCTAGAAGCTGAGTGTCGCTAGGCTCCTGGAAGTGCACTGTTCCCTGGGTACCGACGACACCCAGGTGTCAGCCTCCTGCTTCTCCTGCCTCCTCCTGACACCTTCCTTCCACCCGAGCCCACTTCCCTGAGACGGGTGTCCCTGCCCCGTGTCCTGTCCTCAGCCTGCTTCTCTTCATGTCCATGGGATTTCCAGTGGTTTGGTGCTCGATTCATGTGGGACAACGACCCATGATCTGAAAAGCATATCTGTTCCACCTAGAAACCCAATAATTACATCCGCCACTGCTATGTAGAAAGGCTTAACGAAATGGGACCTGGGAACGCCCCTGCTCCAGGATGGCCGGCTTCCTTGGTAGTACGCCACCTGCTGGCAGGAAAGGGCCGTGGCAGGTGGCTGGTCTCTAATCAGACAGTCTCCCTTCATCTCACACCCCGGGATTCTGAAAGGCCCCTGTCCAGTGGGTGTAACCAGAGGCGGCCACAGCTGCGGGGACACACTGGGAGGACGCTCCCTGGAGTTCCAAGCCACGCTGCCTGAGAAGAGGGGCCGAGCAGCGGGGTGGGGGGGGTACACTGGGGAGAAGGTCAGGGGAGAACAGGAGGTGGTACGTGACTATGTCTCACACACTTCTGTTTTGGACCTAAACATCTTCAGATCTTTTTCCAAAATATGCAGTAGTGGTTAAGAATGGACGCAGTGAGTGGCTCATCAAACGTGCCCGGAAAGGTTTGTGTGTCTGGGCTGGCGCTGGGTGGGGGGACCTCTTCCCGCGGTGGCCAGAGCAGAGGGGACCCAGCCTAGCCAGCTGGCATGCTCCACAGACAAGTACAGGGAACAGAGGCGGCTCTGCCCCGTGGCAGGGGACAAGGACCCCCGCCCTGGGAAAGCCCACCCTGTGCTGAGGTCGCTGGTGACTTCCTGGGCCGTTAAAACCGCCAAGGCCATAGGCTGTAAGGCAGTGCTTTGTGGCTCTGAGGCAGCTATTTTCCTGCCTAACACTTTATGAAGCCGACACCTCAGCTGCAAAGGGGAGAGAGGGCGGGGTGGACAGAGGAGGGGAATTTACCACGGGCTGTGCCTCTGGCTGGAATCATCCCTGCGGGACCACCCTGCCTTTCCTTCAGGGGACAGGAGTGCAGGCTCTGCCTGCTCATTACTAAACAGATACTCAGCGAGGTGGTCAACGCTCTGAAGCAGGAAGGGCCTAGTGGAGGGGTGGGGGCGGCCCCGGGCTGCCAGGTGACGGCAGTGTCAGGCTGCCCACACAGCATGCTTGCTTCTCAGAGGTGACAGCGTTTCCACCTGACCCCCACTTGCTGGGCAGAGTGCACAGCACTGGCACCCATCCCTTCCCTCCTCCCCACCACTGTGCAGGAGGCAGAGAGCTCCAGGGAGCCCCTTTTTTTTTTCTTCTCTTTTTTTCTTTTGAGACAGGATCTCACTATGTAGTTCAGGCTGGCCTTGGACTCACTATGTAGCCCAGGTGGGTCTCAAATTCACAGTGATCCTCCCGCCTCAGCCTCCCGAGTGCTGGGGTCGCAGGTGTGCACCCCCACGCCAGGCCAGACTCCCTTTCTATCTGGGCTGTCAGGGGCAGGGAGGGGGGATGCCAATGGCACAGTCCTGCTGCGCGGAGCACCACCCAACACTACACAGACAGCGCCCCCTGGAGACGGGCAGCAGAGCCCTCCCACCAAGGTCCTCGGTGTGGCTGAATTGGGAGAGTACTTGTGCTGCAGCGCAGGAGCCTGCTGGGTCCTGTCCCCTGCGCGGCCCAAAGTGCTGGCGTTCCCCAGGAGTCCTCTGCCCCCACCTTCCCACCCCTCACCTGTTCCTGCACCAGGTGTGTGCGATGGAGACCTCTTGCCTGTCCCTCACCCCCACGCTTGAGTCCTCAAGTCCAGCCAGCGGTGCCGTCTCTGCTCCTGAGTCTGATCCTCCTCTGCCAGTGCCTGCTACCCTAGTTCAGGATGATCAAGCCCAGGCCCTGCCCACCGCCACAGTGCCCACAGCGAGCTCATCACACAGACCAGGCCATCCGCCGGGGGAAAACCCTTCTGTGGCTGCCCAGGGTCCTTGGGGGAGCAGCCACACTCGCTCCCCTGACACCCTTTGCCCCGATAACCTCCCTCCCCGACCTCCTTTGCGCCACCACTCCCAGCAGACTCTACCCTGAGACACACCCGAGCCACTTCCCTCCGTTGCTGCTGCTCTGCCTGCTCCTGCCATGACTTTCCCATCACCACCTGCCCCCGTGACCCGTTCCCACTGCACCCCGTGATCAGGCACATCCCTCTGCTGCACTCTGCCTCTCCCCACGCACAGCTCCCTGATGCCGATGTGGGCCCCTCACTGAACCAGAAGGTCCTCAGGGACACTCTGTGCCTTGGTCACCTGGGGGTCCCCAGTGCTCAGCCCAGCACCAGACCACGTGGGTTTGCAGTGCTAAATCGGTGGGAACTGGTGCAGCGCTCTCCGTAGTCGCCGCCTGGCCACGTTTCACACTGTCCTATTGCATGGGTGTGTTTCATTTAGTCCACACTCTTCTACATGGTGGATTAAGGATTTAAACAATAAGAAAGGAGGCTTTGGCAGGATGCCAGCAGAGGGTGGTATTTAGGAAGGATTCCCCACCCCACCCCCCGCTACTCCACAGTGTCCCCACCTTTCTCGGGGTCCTTCAGGCTCGAGTGCACCATCTCCACCGCCTTCTCCACCTGCTCAGGGCTGCACACATTGAGCTGGATGGTTCTCATTCGGTCGCTGCTCAAGCTGTCCAGCTCCTTGACCCCAGCGTCCCCTTTGTCCTGGGGAAGAGAGACAGGCTGACTCCACCTCTCTCCTCCCCACCCGGGCAGAGTCTAGATGGCCTCCAGGGCCTGCCAAAGCCTCAGGCTTAGCAACAAGCATGCACGGTAGTTTCTGAAGGCCCCACCAGTAGGTTGTTCGAGCCAGCCCCGAGCATGGGTGACGGACATGCGCCAAGTGCCAGAGTCACACCACAAACAGGATGGAGACCGCCTGCACTGCTCACTGGCCAGGTTCTTTTTCTCAGCAGGGATTGCAAACCTAGACGGGCATCAGACAGCAGGGAGGCTGGGGACCCCGGGGCGGAGCACATGCCAGATGTTGCCTTGTGCATATGGAAACCCAGGTTGTCAGATGCTTAGATAATTAAGCTAGTAAGTGTGATTTCTTTTAATTTTTTGAGAGTTGGCAACCTACCGGCATTTTAAAAACCCAAAAACACTGTGTGGGCCCAAAGCCAACCACAGGTCATGTCTGCCCAGAAGGCTCAGCCTGCTGCCTCTTGCCTGATGTATGAGACGCCAGCACCAGGCGCCCACCCCAGCCGCCCACCCCAGCCCATCCCCAGCCGGGCTCTGCACTCAGGTGTGTGCCCTAACAGGGACCCAGTTTCTCTGGCAGGAACCGTGCTGCCTTGACCTGTGCAGATCAATTGCAATAAGGAAGTGATTATTGAGAGAGCTGTTGAACTAATAAAGCACTATACCAATTCAGGTTTTACTAAAGATGAAAGAATTGTCACTCCTTTGGCAAGCATTTCTTGAGCCTCTGTCGCATCATGGCACCCTGGAGGCACAAAGATGAACACCTCAGCCCCTGCTCTCAGAGCTGTATCGCAGGAAAGGAGACAGCAGAGCAAGCAGACAGTGGGGTGGCCCGTGGGTCGTAGGAAGCCTGCGGGAACACAGGACAGAGCAGGCAGGGGAGAGTTTCCAAAAGCAATGACAGCCGGGGACACTGGCAAGAGAGGGCCCTGGAGGACGGAGCACATCAGGAAGAGGTAAGAGGATGCCACCCCAAGCCAGCTCCTGCGGGCAGCACGGGAACAGCAGGACGTGGTGGACAAGAGGCTGCACAGGGCACAGAGGTCTGCTGGGGGGCGCTGGTCAGCTGCTGGGGGTCTCAGTGAAAGTGGGCGCGGTTGACAGCGCTAGGCACTCAGCAGGCTTTCACCCATCAGCCTTCACATCGCAGGCAGGGTGAGAGGTCACAGTGATCCCACAACATGACACACTTTGCTCAGTAGGGATGAGCCATGTTCCATGGGAAAATTAATGGTTGGCAGCGATTTTCCGAGCAGTGTGTGGAATGATGATGCCTCTTATAGGAGGGCCGGGGTGGCTGCCAGAGAATGAAAAGGGACAGGATGGCTACTGCCCAGGGCAGGGCTGGCCAGGCCACATACACCTGGCACTGAAGCGAACAGCCCAGTCAGGGGCAAGAGCAGGAAACCCCGGACTGTCAGTGTAGCTCAGGGAGAGAAAGTTCTCACAGGTCAGGCTGAGCCTTGCAAGTGGCTGGTACCCCAGGACTGGGAAAAGTGCATCTTGCAATCTCAGCAGAAAAATTTCAAGAGAAAACGTCAAAGGGACCAAGGGTGTTGGAGCCAATCACCTTGAAGACTCCAGGGGGACGTGACCGAGGAAGCCGACCTGTTCTTTGCCTTCCCAGAGAACAGAACTGGAGTCAAGGATTCAAAAGTTCAGCTCCAAACAAGGAGTGGGTTTCTCAGTCTGCAGGTGGCAAGGGCTGCCCGGGAGGTGTCTGGGCCATGGGTTGACTTCACGAGTGGGTACAGAGGGAAACCGTTTGGGGGTGGGAGTTGGGGACCTGGTGTAGACAATCTGAGCATCAGAGATGGGAAGTGTTGCTCTCCTGCTAACAACTCTCCAGTCCCTAAACGGTCATCATTCCCACGTGGTTTTCCACCTCAAGGGAGCCTCGCCAGCAGCCCTTTGAGGAAGCGAGGTGGCGGGCTCAGGAGCTCTGCTCAGGCTGGCGGCAGGGAGGCGGGTTGGCCGGTTCCACCCGGTCCCCTCGGTACACAGCAGCCTCGATGGAGGCTCAGTGGGCCTAAGGCTTGGCTCCAACCCCTCCCTGACATGCCAACCTTTCCCAACAAGGTGACAGGTGTGGGATCCTCAGGGCAGCCCGGCCTGGAGCACGTGCTGTCACTCACAGCGAACTCCAGAGAAGAACTCCCCAGAAGGGCGTCTTCAGGTCTGAGTGCCCACGGGTGTCTCTGTTCTATAACTGGCACACGTGTCTGACATCTTCCACGCGGCAGCTCCTCCGAGCGGAGCCCACCTGGGCCGACCTCAGAGGGCTGCTGGCAGCTATCACGGATTCTGTCTTAGACGTGTGTGAGGGACCGGGTGTTCTTCCTCTCGGGACGTTGTTAACTCTGCTGCCATCCTTCAGCTCCCCGTGGTCCCAGCACTAGACCTCTCTTGTGCCAGGGGCATGAGAATGGCCCTGCTTTCCCAGGGGAGGCCCCCACTCGGGGTCCGCATCCTCACACATGAGCTCAGTTCGGCAGCTTGCAGGGGAAGAGCCTTCTCTTAGAGGAGTAAATGGGGTTCATCTCACGCTCAGCATGTGGGCCACAGCCTCAGACCCCGCCCCACTGACCATCCCATGCCTTCATCAGCCTTGAGGAGCCTGCACGCCCTGCTCCCGACAGCTGTGCCAACCAGGGCGGGCACTATCAGCTGGCCTCAGCCTCCCCCATCTCCCGCTGGCAGCTGGCTACAGACTACAGTGGCCATGTTCTTCAGGACCCACCTGCGCTGAGCCCCAGGCCTCACTCCTGGGCCACTCTGCTTCTCCTGCTCTCTGTCCCCAGGGTTTGCTCCCTCCAGGACAGGCTCTGGCCCTGCCATGTTGGAGCTGGGCTACCTGGCTTACTGGTCAACCCACTTCTTTCTCTTATTAGCCCTTAAATCTCACCCAGGAGCTATTTTCTTTTCCACTGCTGGATGAAGTTCAGGCTCCTCCTGGAGCTTTCCCACCCATTCTCAGGCACAGAGAGCCTTTTGTTTTGTTCTAGCAGGGGCCAGCACCATCTACCAAGCAGGTGACTCCAGCTCAGTCTGGTATAGAGCTCAAACTCCCAACTTGTGCTCTAACAGAGTTGGAGGCAGGTGGTGGCATGGAGGCCCCATGTCCCCTCTTCTGTTCCTCCCCCTCTGTCCTTCCCAAGGCCAGCTCCAGGGGCTGGCAAATACAAGGGCACCAGTGTAATCTTCCGAGGTGGCGTGTCTGCTGTTGTCACCCTGAGCCGGCAGAAGAAACCTGAGAGCTGGCCCTCCCTCCTGGGGATTCCAAGGAGACACTGCCCCCGGGCACCTGTGATCGCCAGCCTGTGGCAGGCAGCATGCTTCCATGCTTCCTCTCCTCAGCCCATGCCCCCGGGATGGCCCCTGGGAGCGGGCAGTCTCATTAGGTGAGTGTCCTTAAGACAGCTCTAGCCAGCTCCAGTTGTCCACATGGGCCAGACAGTTTGTCCTCCTGGGCAGACGGGCAACTGGTTCCCTGTGCAGCTCTGTGCTCTGCTTGCAAACAGTAGCCCCATTCCTGGGCATTTAGACTCCTTCTAGTTCACACTGAACTACATCCCCAACCTCTTTATTTTTAATTTTAAAACACTATCTCACTAAGTCACCAAGTTGTCCAGGCTGGGCTGAAACTTGCTATCCTCCTGCCTCAGCCTCTCTGAGTGCCGAGATGACAGGCGAGTGCCACTATGCCCAGCTTGGAGTCAGTCTCTTGCTTCCCTGTATTCTGAACACTCTCGTGCATCCCTGAGAATGCTTGTCACCCTAATTCTGCAGCTGTGTCTGTGCATGGTATCCCTTCACCACTGGACAGGTGGCTCCTTGGGGCAGGCACTAGGTCTTATTCCTCTACAGCACCTGGCAAGACATTAGCACTGGAAAATGAATAAATGTGCAAAAGACAAGTGGATGGATAGATGGGCAGATGGATGCATGGATGGATGGATGGATATAGACAGATGGAAAGAGCTACGAAGAACAAGAGTGGCCAAAACCAGCAAAGGTTAAGGCTACTTTAAGCAACAGATGCGCCAGTTGTTAGGAAAGCAATTTTTCAAAACCCACAAAATTACAGCTACCTGTAAAGGACCCTGGTGAAGAAAAGACCCTCTCTTACCTTCATCAAGCAGCCGGCAAACACGAGGAAGCCTTTCGAGTGCAGGTGTTTGGCCAAGGAGAACCCGAAGCCGGAGTCGCAGCCTGTGATCAGGACAGCTTTGCTGCCAGCCTGTTTTCGAAGATCAGACCCCATGTTAGGGACCAGGGTCCCCAGACAGAGCGCCCAAGCCTCCTGGCCCTCTGGGTAGTAACCCCCAGTGCTTGGGGTGTGGCCCAGGCTTGGTCCTCCAGCTTGGCACAAAACACCAAGGTGTCCTGGAGAAGCTTGGGGTTCAGAATTAGGACACCAGACTCCAAGTCACACTTTGCCACCAATTCACAGCGCTGTCTCGGGTAATGATTTCTGCTGCCAGGTCTCAGTTTTCCAGCTGCCATTATCATCATCATCATCGTCATCAATGCCAGCCTTATCAGGTGCAGTACTTACTGTGTGCAGAGCTGGGCTTACTGCGCATGAAGCTTTCTTACCTCTCACCCTAGCTCCGTATAATGGGTGTGATTATTAGACCATGGTGCCCGGGAGAAAATAAAGACAGGTAATGTCCTTAGCAACAGAGCTGGAATTGAAACCCGGATAGAGAGATTTCAAAGCTGAACTCTTAACCCCCAACTTGCTGCGGGATCCCACACGTATGGGAGGGTGTGGTCTCGTAATTGGTGGGGGACCTGGGGGGGCAGTTCAGTGAGAAAGTGGCTCAGTGAGTCCCGAAAGTGTTAAAGCCCTACTCTGAGGGTGGCAGGGACGAGGGGCCCAGAGGGAAGGGCTCTGCCCCTCTGGCTGCTTCCCTTGGCTTCTACTCACCGGGCTCACCTCGCTGGCATAAGTCCGATGGCCGATCGGGGTACAGGAAGCAGAGCAAAATAACAGTGTGCGTCTGCAAGAGAAAAGGAAGCCATGAGCACGAGGCTATGACCTTCCTAAGACCTTGCTCCTGGGCCGGAGGCAACACAGGCACCTGCAGGCGCCACCTGGCCTGAAGCACTTGCTGGTACAGCTTGGAAGAGCCCATCTCTCCACCAGGTGCCAGCTAGGTGGCCCGGGAGCCCACGGTGTAGCCCATGAAGCTACCGTACAGGAAGAACCCTCGAAGCGGGGAAGCCAGCCCCGAATGTACTTTTGTTGGGAGGCCCTGCCAAAACTCCACTGGCCTGTGCGGCTCCAATAAAGTCCCATTTTCTGCCCTCCATGGTGACACTGGTGGGTGACCCCTCAGACTAGCTCAAGCTTGGGCTGTCCTTTCAGCAGTACGGCTTCGTGAGAGCCTTCTGCGAAACCAGTGTCTCAGCTCCCACAGGTCAGCTACCACTTCCTAGTAGTTATTTGAATTAAACTTTTTAGTTTGAAATAATTATAGATTCACATGCAGTTAAGAAAGAATACAGGGGGTATGTTAGGTACCTTTTACCCAATTTCCCCTAATGGTAGCACCTTACAAAATTATGCAGCACAACTAGGATATTGACATTGATACAGTAAAAATACAGGATGCTGCTGTTATGGTTTATACCTAAATATCCCCAAAGAGCCTCATATGCTCGTAGGTGGGGCTTTTAGAAGAGGACCAAGAGCTGGGGCTATAGTTCAGTGGGACAAGCGCCTGCCTGGCAAGTGCAAGGTCGTGAGTTCAATTCCCAGTACTAAAAACAAAACAGAAGAGGACCAAACCATGGGGACACTAGCTGACTTGCTATTAGGGGTGGAGTCATTACAGTAAGGGAGATCACTGGGGGGGAGGGTGACCTGGAAGGGTGCATCTCCCTCCGTAACTCCATCCCCCTCTCTCTGCTTCCTGACCACCATGATGTAAGCAGATCTCCCCCACCAGACCCTTCTACCCTGCCTGCCTGCTTCGGAGCCAGCCATCTGTGGACTGAAAACATGATCCAAAACAAACTTCTTTAAATTGTAGGTGTTGGGTATTGTGTCCTAGTGATGAAAAGAGTGGCTACACCACCTTCCATTGGCACTAGAACCTTCCTAGGACCATTTTATAGCCACAAGTACTCGCCTCCGTAACCACTAACCTGTGCAGCTGTGTCATTTCAAGAATGTCACGTTACACTAACAGAATCACACAGGATGTAACCTTTGGGGCTTGGCTTCTTTCACCCAACATCATTCTCTGGAGATTCATCCAGACTGTTGTGTATATCGAGTCTGTTCCTTTTGATTGCTAAGTAGTATTCTATAGCATGGACATTCGTTTAATTACTTACCGACTGAAGGACATCTGGTTGTTCCCAGTTTGGAGCTACAATAAAGAAGCCTGCTATGAGCCTCCCTATCCAGGTTTTAGCGCAAAACCAGTTTTTATTTCTCTTGGATAAATGCCAGGAATAGAATTATTGGGTCATATGGTAGTTACATGTTTAGTTCTTTTAAAACTGCCAAACCGTTTACAACTACAGAGTGATTCTACCATCCTACACCGCCAGCAGGAATGTATGAGTGACCCAGTTTGTCCACATCCTCACCGGTATTTGATGGTGTCGCTACTTTTTATTTTAGCCATGCTGAAAACTGCACAATGGCTGTTTCACTCTGATTTTAATCTGCATTTCTCTAATGGTCAATGGTATTAAACATGTATTGTCAGTTTGCGCTGCTAAAACAAAATACCATAATATGGGTGGTTTATAAACAGAGAGTGGAATTTTATTTCTTCAGTTCTGGAGGATGGGAACTGTCCTAAATCAAGGGGCCAGAAGACTGTCTGGTGGGAACCTACTTCCTTCCTAGAACTGCCTCTTCCCAGTGCAGAAGGGGAGAGGGGTGTGTCAGACCTCTTTCACAATGGCACTAATCTTATTTGTGAGGGTCCCACCTCCTCATATCAACTCCTCAACATGTGAATTTGGGTTGGGCAAGCACTAAGACCATAGACCACCCATGTGGCCTCTTCAGTAAAATGCCTCTCCTTGTGTTATGCCCATATTCCTAGTGGACTGTTCTTTCCCTAGTGAAGATGCTCCAGATACTAGTTCTTTGGTTCATACATGCCATATCAATCTTTTCTTGCCTTTGTAACTTGCCTTTTTATCTTGTTACCAGAGTCTACTGCAGAATAAAACGATTTCAATCTGATTGATCATTTTTTTCCTTTTATAGGTTATGCAGAACCTTTTGTCTAACTACAGAACCTTTGCACTGAGTCACATCCCCAGGCTGTTTTTATTTTTAATTTTGTGACAGTCTCATTAAGTCACTAAATTGCCCAGGCTGGGCTTGCTTTTATAATCCTCCTGCCTCAGCCTTCCAGAGTGTGGGAATCACAGACGTGTGCCATAAGGCATGTGCCTTGCTCTTTGTTTTTCTAAAAGCTCTGCAGATTTGTGTTTCACATTTTAAGTCCATGACTCATTTTGAGTTAACTTTTGTATGATATGAGATGGGTCGAGAGGAGATTTTCTACCTATGAATTTCCAATTGCTGCAGCACCTGTTGTTTGAAAACGCTACCTTCTATCTATTGAATCGCATCTGCACTTCTGTCAAAAATCAGTCAGGCATTTTTGTGCAGGTACATTTCTGGATTTGCTCTCCCACTGCATTGATATTGGGCTCCTATTTTATTTTACTTTGTAAATATTGTTTTACCTATTATACCTCCTTTGCCTTTCCCTATAAACTTTAGAATAATCTTGTCTTTATCTACAAAAAAAAATCAGACTAATATTTTAATAGAACTTACACAAAACCCATAAAATCAACTGGGGGAAAACAGACACATTCATGTTGTTGAGTTTTCCAACCCCCAAACACAGTATGGGTCTCCGTTTACTTAGATCTTTTACTTCTTTCATCTATGTTGTGTAATTTTCAGCAGACGCATCCTGGACATGTTTTCTATGATTTATACCTAAGCATTTTCTCCCCCTCCCCACCCTCTCCTTCTCTCTGGTGCAAGGGACCAAACCCAGGGCCTCACATGTGCTAGGCAAGCCCTATTCCACTGAGCTACACCCTCAGCCCCCACCCTGCTTTTTTTCCTTTTGAATAGTTACAAACAGTACTGTTTTTCATTTTCATAGCCACATTTTCTTTGCCAGTACACAGGAAGACAGTTCACTTTTGTGCTATCTTATATCCTGTGATCTTGCTAAACTCACTTACTCATTTTGGGAACCGGATATTCCTTAGGAGTTTATAAGTAGGCAGCTTTATTTCTTCTTTTCTGAGCTGTACAACTTTCAATTCTTTTTCCTGCCTTACTGGCTGGGCTGCACCTTCCAGCACCACCTTAAGGGCAAAGCGTTCAGTTCTCCCTGGTAAGGAGGACGTCAGTCATACGTCTACTGTAAACGTTATTCGTTGAATTGGGGAAGTTTCCTTGTGTCTCTTTTTCCAATCACAAGTGGTTGTTAAATTTTGCTTTTTCTGCACTGAATCATGCAATTTTTCTTCTTTGGTCCATTAACTTGGTGGGTGACGCTGATTTTCAAACAATGAATCCGTTCTTCCATTCTTAGCACAAACACACTTGTTCATGGCTTATATTTCTTTTTAAATCCTGCTGAATTCTATTTGTTAATATTTTAAAGATTTTTGTGTCTTTACTCGTGAGAGATATTGGTCAGTAGTTCCCTTGCTTCCTCCCTTCCTTTTGCTTGCTTTTTTCTTTTCTGCGGTACTATAGATTGAACCAGGGCCTTACAAGGCTCAGCAAGCACTCCACCACTGAGTTAGATTCCCAGCCTTTTACATTTCATTTTGTGACAGGGTCTTGCTAAATTGCCCAGGCTGGTCTTGAACTTGCAGCCCTCCTGCCTCAGGCTCCCAAGTAGCTGGACTTGCAGGTATAGATCATGGCAACCATCCGATCCTCTCTTCCCATTGGTCCTATCTCTGCTTCCCCAGGGAGCACAGGGCTCTACCCCTCACCCAGGCTGCTCAGGTGGGCAGTCAGGCCTTGGAGGTGCTGGACAGCTCCTGGCACCATGGTGTCTCGTGGGAGGGGTTCGTAGTGCCTGCCCTGCTCTTGTCTCTCTGCTCTCCCTCCTAGCGGAGCTCCTGCTGTCTCTGGGATCCTCAGCTTGCAGCTGCCTCTCAACGGAAAGACCTTTGGCCTTGGGAGATCTTGGCACCTCAGTTCTCAGTATTAACAAGCACCAAGGGACAGCGTTAAAGTGCAAGCTCCGGTTCCGTGATGGCGAACCTTGTAGAGACGAGTGCCCAAACTGCAACCTGAAACCCACGTATTTATCACAGAGTGCCAGCACTGCAATTAAACCTGAACAGTGAGGGTTTAGTTTAGAAAAAAAACCTCTAAACAACTCTATTAATATCTTTTGTCTTCAAATAAAAACACAATGACATGCATGCCACGGGTCTGACACCACTGCTCTAGTTGGTAACACACAACTCAGCCCAGCGGCTGGGGTCTGTGAGACAGCCCCCCTTAGAGAATGGGGTTAGTCTCCAACTGCAGAGTAATCATAAAATGGGACTCAGGTTGTTGTGGTGTTGCAAGAAAATTGTCCTAGATGTTGAATGCTCCAGAGATGCCTTGGTCAAAAGCTTTCTGAGTCCGGGCATAATGGTGCACGCCAGTAACCCCAGCACTCGGGAGACTGGGGCAGAAGGACTCCATAGTGAGTAGGAGGCTCACTTCTCAGAAGGCTACAAAGTGAGTTCAAGGCCATCTTGAACTACATAGAGAGACCCTCTCTCAAAAAACAAAAGACAAGAAAAACATTTCTTTCTGGTTCAGTATCAGCCACTGAGCAGATAACCACGTGTATCTGGGATGATTAAATCAGCCTGCTTGGAGTAACAGACCAAATTTGCTTGAAGGATACAACTTCTTCACTTGACCCTAGAAATAATGATCTAACATCCCATAAAATTATTTTGTACTAATTTTAGGAATGATGTATACATGTTTTGAACATTTGTGGTAATTAACACCCAGCTTATTAGAAGTTCTGACATATAAGCCACATGATTCCAATTTAAAATGTATCAGTTTTTAATGTTGAAGTTTAGAGCTGTTAATTTTAGAGTTTAGAGTTGTTGGTTTTTTTTTAAGATTTTAGAAAACACTTTAAGATAAGCCAGGCACAGTGGCACATGCCTGTAAGCCCAGCTACTTGGGAGGCCGAGGGAGGAAAATTAGCAAATTCAAAGCCAGCCTGGGTAACTCAGCAAGACTCTAAGTAAATATAAAAAAATAGAAAGGACAGGAGATGTAGCCTAGTGGTAGGTGCCCCCTGGATTCAATCCTAAGTACTTTCCCCCCACCAGTTAAGTTTTACAAAATGTGTAAATATTGAAATGTTTGAGAATATAAGATTTACAGAATTTATAATTTTATAAGATTCATATTATTCTACATATCTGGGTAAATTCTGTTAGAAGCATTAAGTAAAAAGAATATATTAAATTTGAAATATTTCAGTGAAGTTTAATTTTTTTTTTTTGTCTTTTGAGACAGGGTCTTGCTATGCAGTTCAGACTGGCCTTGAGCTCACTTTGTAGCCCAGGCTGGCTTCAAACTCCCAAAGGTCCTCCTGCCTCAGCCTCCCGAGTGCTGGGATTACAGGCGTGCACCACCACGCCCAGCAAGTTTACATTTTTAAATGACACCAAATACTAATAAAAGGCTACTTCAAAGGTTGGTGTTAAAATTCAACAGATTTAGAAATAAGATTTATAAATTAACTTAGCAGCCCATTTTTAAATGTGTAACTTTAATAAAATTAATACTCATTCTAAATACTGAAACAAGGCAGTTTCAGGCCCCTGTCATTGGTATTTTGACTCAGTAAGAAAGGGCAGTGCCTGGGAATCTGGTCCCGAGCAGGTCTCAGGCTCTCCTGCCTGGCTGTTGGTGAGAATCACTAGGGAACACATGTGGCCATGCTTGTGTTATTACATCACTAGAGTTTATCATTTTGAGCTGGACACTAAAACATTTTTTTTAGATTATACCCAATGCAGCATGTTTAATGAAGCAGCTGAATCACAACTCTTAATTCACAAAATGATATTACAACATTTGCAAACAAAATACCATGTCCAGGGTTTGTTTCAAAATAATCCAGATGAACAGGGGAGGTAAATAGGTAGAGACAAGACAAAAACAAAACCGGCCCTCACCTGGTCCTTACAGAAGCCTGGTGATGGGTACGCTTGAGGTCAATGACTACTTCCTCCCTTTGTATGCTTGAATGTCTCCATGAAAACACATTTTTTTTTTTTTGGAAACAGGTTCTTGCTGTACAGTTCAGGCTGGCCTTGAACTCAACATGTAGCCAAGGCTGGCCTCAAACTTGTGGTGATCCTCCTGCCTCAGCTTCCTGAGTGTTAGAATTATAGGCATGGGCCACCATTCCTGATTTCCATAGAATATATATGTTTTTAATTACAGGGAAGATTTTGTAACTGTCCCTATGCCTCATTCCACCCTCTTTCTTTCCCCACAGTGCTCTGAGAGATTCTAACCTGCAACCAGAGGTCAAAATGAACTGCCTTAACTGGAAGAAGTAAAAAGGCTTCTCTCCCTAGGGGTTTGCCTTTAGTGCCACTTGACCGCCAAGAGCTCTGGGGACAAAATCAGCATTAGACCACAACCAGATTCAGCTGTGGCAGGCAGTGCTATGGTCCTGCTATACCTGTGCTTCTCAGCTGCCCCTTAACAAATCTGTGTTTTGCTGTTGCCATGTACCCAGCTCTACTCACAGCACATGACCCACCTCTGGCTGATGAGGTACAAGCAGAAGCCTCAATGCCTGCTGGGACATCTGGCTTGCCTGCGGCAACAGAGGTTGAGCCCAGAGTCCCTAAGATAAGGCTGTGGATTTCATGGGAGGGTCCCACTCCTCTGCAAGGGAATCACTGAGAGCTATGCCAGGTCCATACGTGGTATAAAATCTACATGATGACTCCCGGTGGCAAATGAACCAAACCATAGACATCTGGGGGAAAGTTACTCACACCCACAGACGCGGTGGCATGGCTGGGGCCAAATGCCGAAGCAGTCCTCCTGCCAAGGCCATTGAACACAGAATCTATGTGAAGCTGTGCCCCTTCAGGACTCAGACTAATGAAAAGCAAATACAGCAAACCCTTGACTTACCAACTCAATTCGTTTGCAAGGGCTGGTTGTAACTCAAGTTGGTTGCAAGTCAAGACTTTTTTCCATTAAAAAAACAATGGAAATACCCATGATGCATTCGGGGTCTCCCAAAGCACCGCTTAACTAACCTCTTCATAATAAAAAAGGGTTGTATAATGTGCATAATTGACCAGAAACACCAATAATTCTCCTAGTGTATTCAGAAAGTTATAAAATGCGCCTAGTTTACCAGGAACAACCACCTCACGCTGTGCTCACCGTTCAGGGTAACATCTTCGGCTTGCAGGAGGGAGGATGAAATGGAAGGCGGTTATTGTCTGGAAGGGACATCAGGGATCTGGCTCTCTGTGTCCTTTCTCTCCTGGAGAGAGTCTGTGGCCCACCAGGACCTGCTTCTGGCTCAGTAGGTCTCAACCTTTTCAGAACTAAAAACTGGTCTAAGATCGTCTGTTTCTGTCTTTAACACTGTTCAGTTGTGATCGCTTTCTGCATCTTCCCTCCCCTCCTTAGCTTCTTTTCTAGCTTTTTGGGGGCCATGTTGGTAGCAGTAATTATAGCGAGTATAGAAAGCACTGACCGAAATCACACCCACAAACACGCGCATCTGGGCGCAGACTGACACTCCCGAACACGTACACATGCTTTTCTGGCATCGTCTTTGTTTACAGCCATACAAGCAGCCGCATTTCGGTCATAACTCAAGACTTTGATTGTAAGTTAAACCTAACACTCTGGTCGTAACCCCAGTTTTTCATAGGTGAGGCTGGTTGCAACTCGAGGGTCTACTGTTAATAAAAGTGGATTTTTTTTTTAATGCAGAAAAATCATCTTACTTCTGAAGCCCTTCGACAGAGCCAGGCGGAGTCCCCTCTTGGAACGGTGGCCCCTGCTGCTCTGCTGCAGGCTCCAGTACATGATGACCTCTAGTAGCTGAGGCCCACTGCTGGGCTCAGCCTCTGCTCTGAATCCCATGCAAATGCAGCTAAAAGCCTAAATATGCCTAGGAGGCTGAAGCAGGAGGCTCACCAGGAGTTTAAGGCCAGCCTAGGCTATATAGTAAGTTCAAGGTCAGCCTGAACTTCACAGTGACCCTGTTATAGTTTGTGTCTCAATATCCCCCCAAATCCTCATGCAGTCATGGGGGTGAGCTTCTAGAGTTTGTGACTGATTCATGGTCCAATGCTGGGATTATGGGTGTGAGTGCTACACCCGCCCTAGGGTCGGTAGCCTGCATACAATATAAGAGCGGGAAAGAAGCTTGCTCTCCCCTTCTCCCTTATTGCTCTTGTTCCTTTTGCTGTCTTCTGCCTCCATGAACTGTCACCCTCTGCCACTTTGAGCCAGCTGAGTATGAACTGAAACCTCCACAAACTGTGAGCTAAATAAACTTCTCCTTTCTTAATTTTGGGCACCAGGTATTTTTGTCTCAGTAACAGAAAAAAGTAACCAAGACAGACCCTATCACAAAAAACAAACAATCCAAAACAAAAAGAAGCCTAAATACATACTCATGTAAAAATATTGCTGGTATTTAAAAAAAAAAAAAAAAAAAAAAGCAATTTCCTAGCTCCTAGGACTTTGGATTTAACCTGACACTCAGTTTTGGTCCCCTGACATGTAGCAGAAAGAATAGATGGTTCCTGAGTTTGAGGCCAGCCAGGGCTACATGGTGAGTTCAAGGCCATCCTGGATGACCCTGTCTCAAAAAAAAAAAGGGGTGGGGGGTGGAAAGTGGGGGGCTGGGGATATAGGGTAGTTCAGTGCAAAGGTCCCAGATTCAATCCCCAGAGGCAAGGGAAGGGAGGGAAGAAGAGGACACATGATAACAAAATGCAATGTGGGATCCTGCATTTAGAAACTGGGACCAGAGAAAGCTCCATCAGTGAAACCTGAATAAGGTCTATGGCTTGGCCAATAGTTTTACAGCAGTGATGATTTCCTGACTTTGGCCATTGCACTGTGGTTTCACAAAATGTGAACAACTGGGGAAGTTAGGTGAGGGACCTCCTGGAACCCTCTGTACCAAATTTGCAACTTTTGTGCAAGTCTAAAGTGACTTCAGAATAAAAAGGATCTTAAAAAGCAGTTATTAAAGCTATTGCTCTTTACCCTGGGAGCCCTGGGAAGGTGGTCTCCTCCAGCTTCCTTTGTTGAGAGCCACCAGGTACTGAGACACCTTTGAGGGTCAGGCCCCATGATTGCTGGTGTCACCCAGGTATGGAGCGCATGACGCTCAAGGCCCCCTCCACCCTTCGCTGCTTACCTTGTTCCATTTTCTCTGTCACAGACGCTTAGGATTCTTCCTGGGACTTGTGAGAGGGGTCTGGAGAGGCGGGCAGCCAGCATCATAGTGAGTGGTAGGTGGTCCGGTCCGCTTCCTTCTGGGGGTCTGCAACACAAACGCAGCCTTAGTGCACCACTGGTGCACCCAGGGGCTGGCTGGAGTGCCCAGTTTTCTTCTAAAGTCAAATGGCTGGGTCCAGCCAACCCAGGCCAGATCCCGGAATCAGGAAGCGCCTCCTGCATCTCTCCCAAGCTATGGCCTCCTACGGTGGGAAGTTAGGAGCTAAGGGCCCTGGAAACCTGTCCTAGTTCACGCTCCCTGGGTGACTGGGACGAGTCACCACCCATTTGTAACATGAAGAGGTGGCTCACCCAGTGATCCTCAAACCAGGCTGTGCAGGGGCTCCTGGGCACCTCAGGGGCTGAACCCCTCCAGGGCTCTGACTGAGTGAAAACTGTTCTGTCCATGCCTCAGAAGTGGTCTGATGGAAAAATATGGTGAGTGCTTACATTTTTAAAAATCTCTTACAATAAAAGACACCTTGCCATGAATCCGCCTCAAAACCCTAACCCTTGCTTCAAACACACTCATCCCATCAGCCTTGCCACTTTCTGAAGCAGCTCTGGAAGTCCCCTTTCTGGAGTGTCTTTAGTTGTTCTACTGTGGCTGTCTCAATGTCCTGAATGAACTCAAACATTGACCTTTTATGGTCAGTTTGACTTTGGAGAAGAGCCAGAAATCACAAGGTGTCGGATCCAGTGGATTGGGTGGATGAGGACACACAATGATGTTTTATAAGCCTGCCTTTCTGCTGGATGGCACTCAGCAGTAGTATTCACCATATATATGTGTGTGTGTGTGTGTATATATATA